AGAGTGTTGCTCACTACATCGTTCACTGGTTGTCTGATGTAGACTTGATGTTCTCAGTAAGTACTGACTGAGTTTGGTTTTACGCCGCTTTTAGCAATATTACAGCAACATCACGGCGGGGGACACCAGAAATGGGCTTCACGCATTGTACCCATGTGGGGATTCGAACCAGGGTCTTCGACGTGACGAGCCAACGCTTTAACCATTAGGATACCCCACCGCCCCTTTCTGGGTAAGGAAGGATCCCTGCAACCTATGCTTGTGGTAACTTGCTACCAAAAGGTGTTCATTTGAATGGGTGTCATCATAACCCACAACATCATAGCTCACAACATTGATCAGTGGTTGTGATGTAAACTTGTTGTTCTGGGTTAAGAAGGGTCCCTGCAACCTATGCTTGTCATAACTGGCATAAAGGTGTGTACTTGGCTGTGTGTCATCGTGACCAAACAGCTTAGGTTGTTGCTCACAATATCAATCACTGATTAGTCTGATGTAGACTTGATATTTTACAGGCTGACATTTTACGGCTAAAAGTTTATTGAGTGTGGCTTTAAACATTTCAAAATGGCTTCCATGAGGTGTCTGGTTCATGGAAGCTGATCCAGACGACATGTCAGAAAATCTATTTCTAATTCAGATGATTGAATGTCGGTGTGGTGAAGTCATACATAATCTTGTCACAACATCAATCACACAACCATCAAACTAGGCACGGTTTCAGGACTCAAGAAGCTTACCCAAGTTACTGAATGAGAACTGTTCTTCATGTAACAGGCTTCAGGCATTTTGAAAGAAGAAAATGCTTTTGATACATCGATTCATAAATCATAACCAAACCATGACTCAAGTCATGATGCATATCCAAGCTTTATCTGGGACTTAAAACTAAGTGTCCTTGGCAAGTAAAGTTGTCAGAAAAAAACTTACTTTGTTCTGAATTTAAGGGACATGTTACCATCACTCACAAATGCATTAAATTAATGCAACAGCCTTAAACAAACCCCAAATTCCATTGTCTTCACTTGTTCTGTTTTAGAACAAGTATGGTTTTAGCAATATTCCAGCAATATCATGGCGGGGTTCACACATTTTACCCATGTCGGAATCGAACCTGGATCTTAGGCATGACGAGCGAATGCTTTAACCACTAGGCTACCCCACCGCCCCCGGTTTATTTGAGTCTAGTATGTACTTGTGCTGCTTTATATTGGTAGTGAGCACCACAACGTCATGAACCTTTAGTAAAACACTCTGCGCATATCTTCACCAATTCACTCTGGCTGTTGCAGCCCCATTAACAGAGAACAATATACTTCAGCGCTCACATCTCAAACACAAGCTGATGCTTGGAGGCTCAAGCAAACCAACCGAAGGACCAAGATCTCAAGACCTGATTCATTCTTCCCTCCGAGTCATAAAAACAAATCTTGGGAAATGCTTCAATAGAAATCGCCAAGAGTAAAGATTTGGCCCAGCGCTTCAAATAGAGCTGCTGTGGAATCATTGAACAGACAACTGAAGATTTGTCGATGAGATCTCCTCCTAAGACAACATGCTGTTTTTGCACCTCGCGTGTATTGATTAATCTCTAAACTGTTGCCGTTCGCCACTCAGTTGGACGAGGAAAGAGAATCAGGTTATTTACACGATGTGCACTGGCATTACTTTTGACATGGAATTTATAGTAATACCTTATTTCCAATTTTGTCACTTATAACAGAGGAGGAAGCAAATATTGGATTATCAAATTTATCAACAATTTTTGACAAAGAGAAATGTTACAAAGGAATGTTCGTTTCCTGGATTTTCCAAACACAGGACGACGACACCTGGAACTTCAACTTCAAGGAAAGGAAATATGAAAGCTAATGGTTCAGAGGTCCGTTTGATAAAGTCAACATTTCTTCAAATGGAACACTGACGTCTTTCAAAGATTTCTCCATTTTTTTAAAAAGACAATTATTCTGGGGCATCTAAAGATGTAATTTCCGCAGATGCAACAACATAGGTTGTGTTTGTTATTCTTGTATACTTTTTAGCATCTGAGTAGCATATCTGCAGAAGGAACATGTGCCGACTTCCTCACTGAATCAGATAAAAGATTGAGTTTCTTGTAAACAGGGAAATAGGAATCTGTAGTTTTCTTTAAGAGACCCAACCTCATGGGTCAATATTCCATTTGAAGAGGCTCAGTCCATGCAATGGTTACGTCTGCAGAATCATGCATTCATAATACCACATCTGATGCCCATAAACACCTTCTTCCACACACCCTGAGTCATAGCTCAACCCAGGCCTTTCACTATGACAAAGACCAGTGACAGAAAACAGTCCTATCAAATTTCACAAATTTCGGAATGATCTGACTCACGACACTGCTTCTGTTGACCTTCAAAAATCACAGCTCAGGCATGGGCCTAATAAGGACTAGCTGTGTATTTGTTTGTATGAGAATGATCTGTACAGTAGAACTCTTGAGTCAAAGATTCAGGATCTAGATAGGATAGGTCAGGTGCCACGTGAGATTCAGATGAGATTTGGTCATCACATCTGCTGTCAGTGACAGCTTGGGCGGCCATCTTGGACTCTCTTTTCCACAGATGTGGAGCATGCACATGCACAGAAACAAACACAGACAGCCATTAAAATTGCCGACCATGAAAACATGATTCATCATCAACCCAACACTCATCGTCCTTCAATGGCCAGGATGAAAGAAACACATTATGCATTTGAGCTCTTAATTTCTGTTTGATGTGAGTCGGTGTGAAGCTGGCAGTTGAGTAATTGCTTGAACGTGATCTGCTATATTTTGAAAATTTTACATTTCACCAAAACCACAGCCTCTCTGACAGAAGATTAACAAAGCCACAAATTCTTCCCAAAATAACCATAGTTTCAAATATTGGCCAAATTTCAACAGTTTAAAACAAATTCCTCCAGGAAAGAAATTCAAATAATAATATGTCTTCCTCAAGTAGATCCAGAAATTCCCTTGAAACAATACAAAACAAACCACTCAAAACAATCAGAACAAATAAAATTGATGCCATACAATCAAATTCGCAAGTGTAAGGCTAATGGTTCCAACACGTTCCAATATCAGCCCGATCATGGTTTACCGGGAGTTCCAAGCTGCTAACAGCTAATCCTACAACTGTCTGACACACATGTTTGATGCATGCCTTGTTTCTTTGTCTGCACAAATATCTTCAATACCCGAGAAATAAAAACATACTCCTGGCATTCCTTCCCAGCAGCTCAAACAAAGTGCACAGGGTAAATACACATTTGGGGCTAATTTGAGCAATGGGATCTGTTTTCAGTATAGCATTAGGGGTTTGTTGGGAAAGTGTCATTCATGCGATCAGACTTGACAAAAATAGTTCTCACAATGTCACGGAATGTCAAGCATATTGATGGTGCAAATATCAAAGTTTGTGCCAAAAACATTCCGAAATACAAAATTGTTTTTGGTCAACCTGTAAGCTTGAACTTGAACAGTGTGTTGCACTTTAGCCATGAAAAAGGCACAGTGCTATTTGGGTCACTTCAGTTCACATACCAAGTCTCATTCATGAAATGATTTCAAAACTATTTTAAACTTTCAACTCACATCTGCAGAGACCTGGAAAATGTGTGCATAAATTGAAACTTTATAATGTCATATAAACACGGGAAAAACAACATTCCAAGAGATTTTCTTGAGTTTGTATCATGAAGTTGTGAACCTTGGTTATATTGCAGGAACTACCATGGAGGACGTCAAGAACAGGATCACTGATTGCCCAAATGCAGAATGAGATCACCATCCAAATATGGACATCACTTGACAATAAGTTGACATGTAGTACACGCTCAAAGAACCATGTCACATTACACACTATCTTGAAAATGTAAAATTAAAAGAAACAGGATACTTTTTTAGAATGCAGCAATGAATACTAAGAAATACTTTGAAGGGAAATTGTGCCATGTCATCTAAAACTTTGTAATCTTTGTAACCAGGATGCAGAAGATGAATTTCACTTCCTATATGCCTGACCTGCACCTGCTGAGTCAAGGCTACAAACATGTGAAGTATACACCCCATCATGACATACGGACTATTTGATGGCTCTTGTGACATCTGGTAACTCGAGATTATTTGTTGCTTATAGTAACTACATTATGGAAACATTAATTTGGAATAATTTGTTGAGTTCAGTCATGGACATGAGCCCATGTCCTAATACTGACAGACTGATTGACTCGAGGAAGTTGTCAACACTATGCTCCATGACTACCAAAACCTCTCTCATAAAACCCAAAACATGTTGTGGTTGTCCAGTGCGTGGACATGAGCCCTTGGCCTAATATTTACTGTGTAACTCCAACAGAGTTGTCAACAGCTATGCTACACGACTACCAAAACCTCTCTCATAGATGAGGTGAGGTAAAATTGGGTTTAACGTCGTGCTTGAGAATATTTCCTCATATGACGACGTGCATGTGTGTGTATGTGTATGTGTGGCTGCTTGTACTAGCCCAGACTAAGGCTGGTTTTATAGTGCTAGCCCACTGAGATACCATGCCGAATTGAAGCATGAATACCCCACTCAGACACATTATACTGACTCCGAGCCAACCAGTCCTTGTTGTACCCATTAATGCCGAGCGCCAGGCAGGGACCAACAAGTGCCATATTTTAACGTCTTTTGGTATGACGCGGTCGGGGATCGAACCCGCGACCTTCCGCTCTCCGGGCGGACGCTCTAACCACTACACCACGGAGGCGGTCCCTCTCTCATAGAACAAAAAAGAACATGTCGTGGTTGTCCTGGTAACAGATGCATTCACAGATTACCAGTCCGTCCCTGGAACCCTGAATAGTGCATTCCATCACTGAAGTCACTGTCTGGACAAAATGTCTTTATTCAGCACCAGAACTCATTCCACTGCAGGTGATCACACTCACTTGCGTAAGCATTCCAAGCAATGACCTTGAACTCACTCACCTCGAGAGCTGGTGGCCATATCTGCCACTTTCTGAAAGGCATCCAGGAAGGCGCTGATCGCTATGAGGGTGGATCTGAAGGAGAAACAATCTGTGGTTATCTTGTGGAACACAGCTGTAAATCAGACATAAATAAACAGGTGGTTAAAAGCTTACACAAATCAAATACTACTTGAGGCTGGGAATCAAGTGTTTAAATGTTTATGTACGGCTGAGTCTGAGTATGCATGGAAATATAAATGGGAATTTTTTTTATTGATTTTTTTCGAATGGGGGAGTAGTATGAGTGTTGTTACATAATGTAAGTGAACTGTCACACTGTCTGTCGGGGTTTACAGATTGAATATCATGGGGGAAGAATGATTGACAATGGTCGTGTACCATTATTGTGTAATACCAGCAGTTACACATATAATTACTCACAGTGACTGAGCTTTGTGATCATGCGATGCTATGACGTGTTTGCAGACACAAATCATCATGAATAACCATGAATGACGGATCATTATTCATTCTTATGGTGATAATGGACTCAACAGTTAATATTGAGATTTGTCTTGCAAAAACTAAGGATTAAGAACATTTTCTCGCTGCTTTTAGCAATATGTCAGCAATATCAATGCAGGGGACACCAGAAATGGGCTTTATACAGTGTATTTTATACAGTGTAGACCAGGAATCGATTCAAAGTCTACGGCATGACGAGCAAACACTTTGACCGCTAGATTAGCACACCTACTAGAAGATGAAGACATCATACTTCTGACAGATGATAACGCAAAAAGGTGAGGTGAGGTGAAATTGCGATTAACGTAGTGCTTGAGAATATTTCGCTCATATAATGACGTGCATGCTTGTGTATGTGTGGCTGCTTGTACTAGCCCAGACTTAAGCTGGTTTTATAGTGCTAGCCCACTGAGATACCATGAAGCATGAATACCCCACTCAGACACATTATACTGACTCCGATCCGACCAGTCCTTGTTGTACCCATTAATGCCGAGAGCCAGGCAGGGACCAACAAGTACCATATTTCAACGTCTTTTGGGATAACCCAAAAAGGCACCAACTGTCTGCTACATCTCTACAGATACCTTCATCTCTACAGACAATATGTTCTTCTGTCTGAATACTACCAGTGAAGATCCGAGTTAGAATTCATCTACAGCAACCCACGCTTGTTGCAAGAGTTGACTAACGGGATCGGGTAGTCAATCTCGCCAACTTGGTAATCATGTCATCATATCCCAATTGTATAGATTGGTGATGATCACTGCTGATGCTGCTGATCACTGGAGTGTCTGGTCCAGACTCCTTATTTACAGACCAGGCCATGTATTGCTTAGTGCGGCATTAAACAGCAAACAATGGACTGTCTGAATACTCAATGACCTGTTCAACAAGGAAGACCACTATCTAACATGATCTAATCTATCATATTTCCCACAAGGTCATGGATCGAGTTCTAAGGGGGATCACATTCAAAACAATTGTACGTTGCTCCACAGACATGATGAGTGTCCTGTTTATGATGGACTCTGGATTTCCTTTTTCAAAGTAAAACTGGCGTAAACATGAGTTCTTCAACAAGTTTCAAGAATGATGGCAGCAGTGAAAACGTGCACACTGAAAACCATGTTGGGACATTAACCCTGTCAACTTGAGGTGGGTGGGTGGGTGGGTGGTGGCGGTGAGTGAGTGAGTGGAGCGAGTTGAGTGAGTGAGTGAGTGAGTGAACATTTCCCATCACAGTCCCATACAGAGACAAATTGGGAGTGGATGCAAGTAACATATTCTGCTAGTCCTAAGGGATGTAAAAAAAGTAGGAATGTCTGAATCAATGACACTTTTTAAACTTGTAGATTGTGCATATCAAAAACACACACTGAAACAAGTAAACATGAATGAACAAACTAGTTAAAACCAAATCAGAAATGAAAGACTAAAAAAAAGACTAAATGAACAAACTAAAAAAACAACAAAACAAAAAACCCATAAAATTTTAAAACACGAAAAATTAATCTGGTGTCTCAAAAAAAACCATAAATTAGACTCTCAAACACTGCACACACTCCACTGCGGAAAACAGCCATGTTTTAAAGTGTGGCAACACATCTGCCCATCATTCTATCCTCAACACCAACCAAACAAAAAGAAGAGACACACACATTGCCCTGCAAAGATCATTTTGTTGAGGTGTAGAATTGCACAAGACATGTATATTCCTGGGAAATTCCCCCATTTTCTCCCCCTTTCGCATATCTGGGGATGACTCACTCCATCGCACATGCACACGACAATCTGTTACGACAATCTGTTACGTGGGCCAACACATCTCTCAACATTCACAAAACGCTATCTTTACATGAGGCTCTGGTCTCATCGCCATGTTTTTGTATTTTTTGTACAAATCTTTTGGTCATATCGAGCTCTGTTACAATGAATAACAAGAAGATGTGAATCATCTGTTCAATTCGTTGAAAAGCAGTCACTCAAAGTATATTTTGGTTGAGCTGTTAAAACATAACTTAAGCAAGACGTGTTCAATAATCACACTTTCACAGTACATCTGACTCTTAATATCTCAATGCCTGATAACTTAAAACGCTTCATATTTCAAAGAAAACACTCCTTCCGAACTTCATCGTCACATGTTGATTCTAGTTCTTCTATCTGAGATACCAGCACAATATTTGTTGTTTCCTTCAACCTGAAGACCTCCAAGTCCACCGATTGTTTTGTTTGTTGTTTTATGCGACACTCAGCAATTTTCCAGCTACATGACCGCAACAATAACCAAATCTTGACCAGCCCAATCTATGATTGATATTTAGAGCAATGTTCCATGTCCTTGGGCTGCAATGAGACAATCACACTCCGTCCAATTCCCCAGGGAGTTGAGATTGATAATGCGATGTGCCGTTGAGATTGACATCCAATGATCGAGGGAAACAATACCAGCGCCTTGAACATGCACTAGTGCGTGGATATGTGCGCTATATAAATATCCTATAATGAATAATAATAATTCATATTCCTGCATATTACATAAGTAGTAGGTATGTCACGATACGTAAGTTTCACGAATCGATACGTATCACAATACCCATGTCACGATTCGATACGTATCACTATACCTATTTTCGTGGCATTATTGTGTAAATTTGGTTACATTTTGAACATTAATATTTCATATTTTATAATTGTCCATGAAAAGATCACCGTTTTTGATTCTCAGAGATTAAAAAGTTCTAATTTCCCATCTTTGTGCATGAAAAATAATCATTTATAACACTCATAACATAAAAAAAACATCATACAATTGCAAAATGTAAATGATACCTAAACATATTTAAACCGATACTTTCAAAACTAAATATCGATACAGTTTTGAATGTATCGATAATTGTATTGTCTTAGAAAAAGTATCGATGCATCGTGGCATCCGTAACAAGAAGGTTGTGGACCCAGAATTCCACAGCATCTTCTTTCTTCCCGATTCAGGGTGTACACAAATTCTCTGTTCATGATTCAAAGTGTACACAGCGAGTCCTATCGAGCTATGTCCTAACTTACTGAACAGCACTACAACTGAACATGGCTGTCTGATATTTCTTAAACATCACCGACAGCGACCTTCTACACACCACTAAGCGAACTTGACACTGTAGCATTTCATGTCAGGATCACATCTATCTTCCAATAGATATCACTAACTCAAAACTATCTACTAAACATCACTGACATTCATATTCTAACTTCAAAGCAACCAATCTACTAATATCACTCACACCATCTACTAAACATCACAGACTTTCATTTACTTGACTTTCATTTACTAAACTTCAAGGCAACTAATCTACTAAACATCACTGACACCATCTACTAAACATCACAGACACCCATCTACTAAAATCTATGAAACCCATCTACTAACATCTATGACCCCAATCTACTAAACATCACTAACACCCATCTACTAACATCTATGACCCCAATCTACTAAACATCACAGACACCAATCTACTAAACATCACTAACACCCATCTACTAACATCTATGACACCCATCCACTAACATCTATGACCCCAATCTACTAAACATCACTGACACCCATCTACTAAACATCACTGACACCCATCTATGACCCCAATCTACTAAACATCACAGACACCAATCTACTAAACATCACAGACACCCATCTACTAACATCTATGACACCCATCCACTAACATCTATGACCCCAATCTACTAAACATCACTGACACCCATCTACTAAACATCACTGACACCCATCTACTGATATCTATGACACCAATCTACTAAACATCACAGACACCAATCTACTAAACATCACAGACACCCATCTACTAAACATCACTGACACCCATCTACTAAACATCACAGACACCCATCTACTAACATCTATGACACCCATCCACTAACATCTATGACCCCAATCTACTAAACATCACTGACACCCATCTACTAAACATCACTGACACCCATCTATGACCCCAATCTACTAAACATCACAGACACCAATCTACTAAACATCACAGACACCCATCTACTAACATCTATGACACCCATCCACTAACATCTATGACCCCAATCTACTAAACATCACTGACACCCATCTACTAAACATCACTGACACCCATCTACTGATATCTATGACACCAATCTACTAAACATCACAGACACCAATCTACTAAACATCACAGACACCCATCTACTAAACATCACTGCCACCCATCTACTAAACATCACAGACACCCATCTACTAAACATCACAGACACCCATCTACTAAACATCACAGACACCCATCTACTAACATCTATGACACCCATCTACTAAACATCACTGACACCCATCGACTAGATATCACTGACACCAATCGATCAAACATCAATGCTCTATACCGTCTCTGATATTATCCTCTGTCTCTCATACAGACTCTGAAAGTAAAACTCCTATCTATCTATCTGCATGCATGTACGAATTCTATAATTCATCTGATTATATTTTGTACATTATTCTTTGATCAATATAAACCAAATATCACATAACTTTATTTTTAGATCTATTTCTCCAAGGCAACAATTACCCTTTCAGAACTAACAATAAACAAGTAATTAAATTCTGAGGCCCTCAGCAATAACTGTATCTAGGTCAATACGAGACTATACATCCCTACAGACTGTTTACTCCCAAATACAGACAGTGTAGATCCCTGTATACTGTGCAGGCCTACAGCAGTGAGTACAATATAGAGATGAGTCACACCACAGCACAACATTGAGGCCCCTGGACCATTCAGGGGGACAGGATGGATATAAACACTGTCTGGGACCATCAAAGCAACATCAAGCCTGGTACAGTTGGATGAGTTCACTGACTGTAACTCGGGACAAGTGTCAAAACTTCCACATCAATGGCCGCCATTTAAAACCCAGTTGCTATTTTCTTTACAAAAAGTGTTTTGTAGGTTAATGGTACCCCACATCAAGGAGTAGATTTGTTTGCTTCATAAGATATTTTTGTAATATTTACCGCTACAATACTTGTGGTAATTGATGGCTGTGTGCTGATGTACATCAGATAAATATGCTAAAACTCGATCTGCGTCTGCTTTCCACCAGACGTCATAAAGGACATCAGCACACTAGGTGTGTTCACATGAAATATGTTTGTAAGGTAACTGATGTTCTTCAAGAAACATTTCACAGCAATCTTAACCATTTCTTTCCAGTTCAGTGAGCTCAGTTTGAAAATGAATATTAATGGATATTTGCTATGTTGACAAATGCTGAACTTACTTCAGAGAAGAATGCATTTTCGTTGCCTTGTAAGTAAAATCCTCCCATATTGGCGAACTTCCCCTGAAACAACAGAAGAAAGCATTTAACATGTTGACAGTTACAGGGACAAAATGTTTTAATTTTTAAACACTGAAATAAAAAAACATGATAAAGTCCAGTGGTCATTGTCTGTTAGTAACACTTAGTAACATTCCAGCTTTATTTGTAGACAATCAAATCCGGACCAGGAAATCTAGTGACTGATGTTATGAGCATATATACTAATGCAGTTAGGACACCATGACATCAACATGGATCATCGACCAAGACCACACTCCATTTGACTCCATCTTATCAAATCTTGAAATCCCCATAGCATTAATTGTAAATAAAATGTGCATGCATGTAGCTTAATATTTAAAAATAAGAAAGCAATACATGACGTTTTATGCTGTAGTCAGCAAAATTCAAGCTATAAAACAACAGCAACAGGCTATGAAATGTGATGTCTGGCTATGAATATTCAATTGAATGCATCATATTCTCAAGGGACATGTAATATTCATCAGACGATATGGCACATTTTCTACAGAATTCTTAGTGCTCAAACTGTCACCAAGTCCATGCTGAAGAGTGGGAGTTAAAACATCTTAGTAATAAAATCAATTTTAGAACAGGACCCGTGACTTAGGTCAAACCTGGTTCAATCATCCCTTTAACTGGTTTGACAACGTTTTTTATCTTGGAAATAAAAAATAAGATTGTTATCACAAAAGAATTCTTGTCACAATAGAATTGTTGTGTTAATCATGTACTACGACAGCAACACAAAAGGTTTGCATCATAATACAAGGGTCAATACATGCAATATGATACATATCACAATGTAGGGATATATATGGACTGACTCAGTTGCCCTAACATACAACCTTTGTGAACTTAATATACCAAGAACTGACAAGCATCCGCTGTCCACTCAAAAAACAAAACAATGACAAGCAACCTCTGTCCACTCAACGCCAACCTTTATTATCCTGTCACAAGTGTTTATGAGTGTTGCATCATGGGAATGCTGACAACATGTACGAATGTTTGAGCGAGATAAGCATGACCAGCCCTTTAATGTAAGGAGGTGTTTATATAAATACATTGGTGAACACACGACCTCGATGGCACGTCAAGCATGTCGACACTGCAAGTACTCAAAGGTCCTACTTGTGATCATGTGATAATCTCATGTTAACAGTGACGCTCATATATATACGCCATAAGGCATATACATTTCTGTATATACCAAATGAATCACATATTGAATATAACTGATTATGCATAAATTGTTATTTATCATATGATTTACATTCTGAAAAGTATCAAACTACAAAATTCTGCAATATATTATATGGATGGTCAGATGGTCGTAACCCTTAAAATCCAAAATGGAATATCTATATTTACTACTTTATATTTTTGGGTCACATACAAGATGCCTGATATGACTGGTGTCTGTATAAAGGACGGACGTACGGACGCCACTGAATACATAGTCCCCCGTACCGCGTTGCGGCGGGGGACAATAAAAGTTATAAATAAAATATGAAAATATTATTAAATGATTCATAGATCATTAAACTAGTTAACAGCAATAACAAGTTGAAGAAACTCCTCACATTACTCTGAAAGGGAAAACAGCTGTGAAACCACACATATTCATGTATCAGCCATGCCCAATTTTCAGATGACTCTGCATAAACTGGTAAAACCTGGTAAGCAGAATCGGATTACCAGGCCACTAAAATATCTTCAGTTACATAGATCCACCACACACTTATGTTAGGTAACCAGGTCGTAGCCATTATCTTATCCAGACAAACAGGTGTTGGTTGTCATACAGTTATCATAACATATTTGGCCATCGTGTCACCGCCTGCACTAAACAAACCATCTACAGCATAACATTTCAATCATCAGGTGGCTATATAGAACTCAAAAATCAAATCATCTGCTACCAGTTCAACGAGGGCACTCACTTCTAGAATAACATACCCAACATTGCATGGGTCAAAGGTTCAGGAAATTCTTAAAATGCCGGTTACTGTTTGATATACAATTCAAATGAAAGGGCTGTAAACGGGTTCAATGGTGTCCTTCTTCCTGCAGTATACGAAGTTGGTCAGGCGGCAAATGTACACCTTCTCCTCATTAGCTGCAGCCCGGCCACAATACTTGGGTTATAAGGAATCTTTGTCCCTTTCCAGTCAATAAATACATTTTAATCCACTGATGTGTTCAGCTGTACTGGCTTAATGTCTGATATTAAGTCAGTTGACATTCTAACAGCAGAGGCCCAGATAAGCTGCGTATCCGGGTAAAATACGCATAGAATTACGCATTGAAAAATAATTGTTGCGTACCAATTACACATTTAAAATTTTAGATACGCAAAAAGTTTAAAACAAATGCGTATGGAATATATTTATAAAAATCGCTTGCGTAATGAAAAAGACATCGATTGCTATCAAGTTGTACTGTTAGTATAGGACAAGTGTTGTAATGTCAGTATAGGATGAGTGATTTTTTATGAAAAAAATTCCATTATATTAAAGTTGGTTTTGATTAGGTATGACATAAGGCAGAACATACCTGCTTAGTAACTTACTCAATACGTAATACTTAAGTGAGTAAAGTGACTGAAATACACACATATTTGAAAGCAGTGGGTAATGGAAAATGAAATACCCACTCAACATTCATAATACCCACTTAAAAAAATACAATGGGCACAGTACCCACATGAGCTAAATCTTATCTGGAGCTCTGCTAACAGTGTTGTCTAATCCTGTTCATGGTCTGAAGTCTTTGTGACCGTTGCCACGAAGTCAGGCTACACTACTTTCTGGAAACCTGGTATCATCACTAGTTGAGTTGAGTTGAGTTGATTTTAGTTTAGTTTAGTTTTACGCCACACTCAGCAATATTCCAGCTATATGGTGGCGGTCTGTAAATAATCGAGTCTGGACCAGACAATCCAATGATCAACAGCATGACCATCGATCTGCGCAATTGGAAACCGATGACATGTGTCAACCAAGCCAGCGAGAGTGACCACCCCGATCCTGTTAGTGGCCTCTTACGACAGTGAGTGAGTCAGCGAGCCAAACACCACTTGATCAATATTCAAACAATATCACAGTGGGTCAGCATAATGTGGAGGAAAACCTATATTGTTGCATTTCTCAGATAAATATCTTTGGTGACATCACCGAAAATGGGTATGATACTGAAAGACCTAGCATCAAAACTGAACAGTTCACATCAAGAACACCCCTTTGAAGGTCACAAGAAAACATTTCCTTCAAATCAGTGAGAGAAAACAATCTAGAATCCGCGGACACGTTCCACAAAGTGATATTACCGCTAAGGTGATCCTAACTACCATACTAACATAGACTTATGACAGTCTTAGCTCTAACCTACTTTTGTGGAAGGCCGCTAATATTTCTAAATAATCAGCAACACAACAACTTTTTAAACAAACAGATAAGCCACATGGGACAAAAAATCCTTCACTCCCTAAACAGCAATGTCGCTTCCATAATCCACTATCATTTACCTCCAATAGTCGAAATATTTTTTCACTACCCATAAGTCGTAAAGTCGGCATAGGAAAACAGTTTGCAAACAGGGGTGTTTAACTTATGACTGTGAGGTGAAAGGTCAGATAACACAACACCTGGACGAGATCAGCCAATATTGACGCAGAGATCAAAATAGCCCAAATTGTTCCTTGATCATGCTGGTGTTTGGTCACACCTTTGCTGGTCACACCAATAAATAAGGCCGTGTCCAGGTTTACGGATGTGTCAAGGAAGGGCTCTACAACTCGACATCGTCTTAGGTGGGAGTACTGGTGAGAGAGTCAGTGAGTTTGGTTTTACGTCGCTTACAATTTTCAAGATCACAGCAAAAGACACCAGAAATGAGCTTCACACATTGTACCCATGTAGGGAATCGAACCCAGGTCTTCCGTGTGACAAGCAAACGCTTAAACCACTAGGCTACCCCACTGCCCTTTGAGTACGGTGCCCCGTTAATCAAACTCAAGGCGACAGTCATAAATCTATGGAAAAGTGTGGGAGTTACAAGGAACTACAACCGCTTTGAGGAACGGGCCACTGGTAACTACAGATCCGACTATATCGATTCACTGCACTTGTCCATGGCCTAATGGCTACCAACCAACATAAATATAATATTGATGGATGACATCAATACTATGACAGAGAGCCGAGTTTCAATAAACAGGTAATGAGTGTTGAACTGGATTTAATAAGCTTAGAAAGTATGACAAAAATAATAAGGTTAAAAGCAACACGTCCATCCAGCATGTAGAAATGTATGGAACGGATGCAGACAAAAGTATGTATTGCATCCCTAGAATGCACAACAATATTCACTGTACCAAATTCTTGACAAGAAATATAAATATAAAAAGTAATTATTAAACATTACAGTGCAATACTCAACACCGTTTCAGTACTGAAACGCTGGGATTACGCACAATGCAAGGTCACTTTGAGGAACAAAGACCAGGTTGGAATATATGTTTTTTGCTAAATGCACACTTAGCATATTCTGGCAATAGGGCAGCAGTCTGTAAATAATGGACTAGTCCAGAAAATCCAGTGATCAACAGTAATCTATGCAATTGGGACACTGACATGTCAACCATGTCAGCGAGTCTGACCACCGATCCTGTTAGTCGTCTCTTACGACAAAGCATGGGTTGATGAAGATCACGGGTTGGAATATATCTATCATGTTTAATCAATGAATTGTCCTGGAGGCTAGGTTATTTCTGTAGTAGCTGAGTCAAAGGACATCCATTGTACACTTTCAACATCTGGGTGAAGAATAGGATTCCCTGAGTTTTATGCTTAATTACGCATCATGACAACTGAACATAAAATTACATAAATCCTGTGAAAATTGCATTAAAACCACTTCAAACACATACATCAATTGTAACTTATAACTTCAGTTTTGATCTGGTATTTCTAAATCTGTTAAAAATCCAGGCCTG